ATAAAGTAACTGCAACTGAGACGTAAAGATAGAAGTTTTTAGCCTGTGTGATCCTATCAATCGCTGGCAGCGGAAAGGCCGGGATCTATTGCGGCTGTTGACTATCCTTGAGACAATGACTAACAACGACACGGTTGGCCCAAACGTAGATTTATTCAGCGAACGCTACTGAACTTTTTGACCTGGCCAGAACTGGCTCCACCCAGGTGGTGTCCGCACTACGATCGCGTTGCATGCTGGTCGCTCAGATAAATGCCTGTCATTTACTTCTTGACGCGGTCGAGTGAACATCCCTCTATACTGAATGCGTAATGAGGATTCACGGTCTCCCACCTTTTCTTCGTACATTTGGCAAAAACATGAGTCTCCGTGAGCTGGCGGGTCAAACAAAAGTTATTGATGCATCTTGCTGGCTACAAAAAGGTTTGAGTGTATCCTTCGCTCAGACTGGAAGGCGAGATAGGTGAGAAATATTTTATTTGCAAGTTGTCGATCCATTGATAGGATTTTTACTTTTGACCTTGAAAGTTTTTCATGTTATAATATCCCAGGTGCGATGAAATTTTTCAGAAATGTTTAAGTTGAGTGAAGAAGGCTGGTGTTATTCCAATTGTTGTATTTGTCTTTGCCATCCAAAGCAGGCGAAAATGAGAAGATTGGAATATATCAACAAATTTGAAATGGTAAATTAGCCACCGTTACGATTATAAAAGCTGACGTTTCGAGCGGTAGCCCTTCGTGGGAGCGAATAGAGGAATTGTGGGTTGTGTGTGCTTTTAAAGGCAGAAAAAGGAGCTACGTGATTGGTGGGAACATGGCAACGAGAAAAACACAAATACATTAGTGGAATGAAAAGCGTTCGAAAATGAGAAGAGACGAAGGTATTCTGAAATGTTCTTTCATGATCGTCCTCCATGCGAATCTCATACCAAATGAACTGTCTAAAGTATCATAACTTTGATCACACAGAGAGAAAGAAAATCTCATTAGAAAAGCCGTAGAAGACAACATTTCTCCCCAATAAGCAAACAAGTTTCGAAGTCAAGCCGCAGAGATTTCATTCGATGACATAGCCGAGTGCATAACTGTAAGCTGATTTAATTCTTGTAATTTTACGCGTCCATTATTCATGTGTTTACAAAGGTAGGGTTAAATCTATCATACATCTAAAATGATTTCTTGAAGATTAAAAAGGACTTTTCAGGCTTGTGCTCATTTGAATTGTTCGTTTGTGATTGAAGGACAAGACACATAACAACTTGATACTACAAATTTACTGCCCTATTCATTTGTTTTTCATAGTACATATTATGTAACAAAATTTTTCTTGCAGGTTGTAAAGGGATATGAAGCAGGTAGTCGATTGGCATCTTCAACTGAGCCTACAACCAATGGTATGTACAGTCCGGTGAACTTTTTGTATAGTGATTAAAGGCTGATAGTTTCTAAAGAAACTGTTTCGGGCTGCGTCGGTGGGGGTAACGAAATAATTTAAGAAGACGTGATAAAGTCTAGGTGACCGATTCCGAGAACACATTCGCGACGTGGAAAGGAATGACAAGGACACATCGAAACCAGTCGCTAGACATTTTAATTTACCTAATCATTCTAAGCAACATATGGCAATCGCCGGTCTTTCCTTACACTCAGGCAGCACGGAAAGCCGTAAAACTCTTGAACAAAAGCTCATCTTTCAAACCGGCAGTCTAAATCCCACAGGTATCAACGAACGCTTTTCATTCTACTAACTTATTCGTGTTTTTCTCGTTGCCATGTTCCCACCAATCACGTAGCTCCATCTTCTGCCTTTAAAAGCACACACAACCCTCAATTCCTCTATTCGCTCCGACGAAGGGCTAACGCTCGAAACGTCAGCTTTTGTAATCGTTACGGTGGCCAATTTACNTATTAACATTTTAGTTTAACATTTTTTTATAAATCGCGCTGAGCGGTTTATATAGCGTCATATAAGGAACCGCTCGACCAATCAGATTGCTGGAAACTCTTTACTCAGCTCTGAAATTATACTAAAGGCGCTTATTTAAATTACTCCCAAAAGGGGGGGCGCTTATTAAAAAGGAGAGGGACTAGATACATACATACCTACATACATACATTTATTGAAGCTCCCTTTAAAGGGCTTTTCAGTCACAATATACTAAAATTACAAGATAAGACAAAGGAATGAAAGGTAATAACTAATGAAACGACAACTTTGAGTTTAAATTTACAAGACATGTTTCGACATTCTCATGTCATCTTCAGTTGCAAATGAGGATTTAACGGTTGTACATTTGAATTTATATTAAGGTACGTTACAAATTACGTGTCAGGGCTTACGTTACATTTGAATGTTAAAAACGCGAGAAATGTAAATAGCGCGCTTGACTAGATAAAAAAAAATTAATAAAATAATAATAATAATAAATTAAAAGACCAAGGAACAACATAATTAAAAGGAAAGAGACAATTCTAGATGTTTTAATTGCTGAATAAATTCAAATGTACAACAGTTAAATGCTCATTTGCAATTGAAGATGACATGAGAATGTCGAAACATGTCTTGTAAATTTAAACTCAAAGTTGTTGTTTCTTTTTTGAGAGTTATTTTTTATTTGTAAATAATTTGAAAATTTTTTCTGTGTCCCCAATTAGTTGTGAAAACTGAATACATTGACACATTAATAAAGCTTTTACTTACTTACTTAGTTACTAATACTTGTGTACCTCTCACTGTGAGATTGAAATTGAAGGGAAGAGCTACACAGTGTTGTGGGAAATAAAACCTGAAGATAGAGCAGTTACTTTCCTTTCCAACCCCCAATCAGCAGCCAATGTTTACCTTTATGATCTTGATGAGGAATGCAATGAAGATGGTGAATCTGACGAATCCGAGGAGGCTCCTGAAGCATGTGCTTCCACCAGCCATTGCTTCCCCTTTAAAGTGCTGGGAACATGCTATACAGCAGAGAGGCAAAAATTTTATGAATACTTATATGAACACAACAGACCTTTATTTGTGAAACTCAAGGCAGAACCAGACAATCTTTATGATAGAAATGCAATTGTTTTTTACATCATGGCATCATCAGAATACAAGAAAGTAGTGTACTTAGCACTTGAATGAACACAGTATTTTGCATCCACTGCTAAAAGACCCATCTCTCGAGGTATCTGTGAAAAAAATTCGCTTTTGCACAACTTTTCTTAGGATTGGTTTTTATCTGACAATTAACATCACCAGGAAAGGATTGTGGGAAAAAGCAGTTGTCAAAGCTAGTTTTAAAGTCAATTAGAACTAAAATAAAAAAAAAATAATGTTCCTTCTGAAAAACAACTTTTTTCACCACCCTTTTGTTAAACATTTCCTAAAATCACTCTAGCTCTAGTTGATGAAGACTGCTCCAATGCACTTTGAATACTGTCCACATTGGACCCATCGACTTCTTAAGTATTAACTGCCACCTGTGGCTCGACTTCATATTGCCATACTGGCTCCCTATGGAGGCACAGCCACTTGTGTCCAAACTGGCTGAACATGGTTTCAAGCCATGAAGCGTAATGTTCTTCCTGCCAAGTTTCTGAGTTTTGTTTGATGAGAAGATATGTAGATTGTAATCAATCAACCCAATAGGGCATTCGATTCAAATCCATTCTTGGTGTCGGACTTTCAAAGTATTTGCTAAGGTCATACACCAGGTTGCGTTTTCCTTCTCTATACAATGTTACCATTGCCCTTACTCTTGAAGGAAGGAAGTCAGCTTTTACAAATTTAAAGAACTCCAAACCTCCGTCGTCTGCCAATGTAAGCTTGAACAAGTGGTCAAGGATTTGGGACTTGTGTCTGACAGACATTAAAGTTTTGAAACAGGATAGAAACTCCTATACCAAATCACCAACACTTCTGTTTTTAAGAGGCTGTGAAGGCTTGTCAGGGGAGCAGTTGAAAATTTGTGACAACGACACAGCTTCTGGAATAGTCCTTTTGGTTAGGATGTTGGTAGAAGCTTCTTGGAAAATTCCAGAGTCAAGCACATAATCAACAAGCAGTGCTGTTTCTGCTCCTGACAAAGATTTGAACTCTTTCATCAAATTTTTATTTACTCGCGAGCAAAAGGATGAACCTAAACTGCAAACCATCAAACAGTAATTACTATGGTGTTAGCATCTGATCAAAACTCATTGGATTATATTTCACTTCCAATATTAAGTGTAGTTCAGCTTCTTGTAAGTATCCCCTAATAGGCAAGGTGAGTCATTTCCAGGCTATCAGGCTTGACCCTTTAATAAAGTTCCCAACTCATCATCACAATATTAATATCAGCACATGGTTTACAATTATTTCACTTCACTGGAAGTTGAACGGGAATGTGTCAAGAGTGAAAAGGCTTATTTTTTCAATGAGATTAAAAACAACACTGTTAGATGAGGGTCTGGATGGGGGTATCTCGAAAACACTAAACACTAAAATTTTACCTTCTATAACATCAAACATTAAAATTTTGGGCTGTTTAACATCTAACACTAAAAAATTCTCTGAAACACTAAAATTGATACAAATGTAACGAGAAACGGCTAAAAAATGCGCCAGATACTGATAACGATAAACGCGGGCATTCAATATGGAATCAGCTACAATTGATTTACATACTGTGTCATTTTGATTGCAATTTTGTGTTGTTCATTGTTTATGTCTCTATCATGGAAAATCATTGGAGACTATTTCTCTGCAGAAGGGAACATTATGCTTAACAATTAAAATTTTCCTCTGTCGTTATCACACTTTCGCAAACTTTCATTTGAACAATTTGTTTATTTAATCATCATCATGCTCCTTTTACCTACCGGGAAAAGGCTGTTGCATCCTCACTAGCCATCCTCTTGTTTCTTAGCACATGTATTAGCAGCAAGCAAGCCTTGAATCTAAACT